GGCTCATGGCCACAGAGTTTCTCTGCTCCAACATGGGACAGAATAGTCACCATGACCCAGGAGGTCCCTTCTCTCTTATGCTGTGTTGAATCTCTAGTTTCTGCCTCTCTTAGCCTCTTCTGGTTTATTTCCTCCTACTGGAGCAACATATGTTCCAGTAGCTTCCTGGGATATGGTGTGTGGGAGGTGAAACTTTTTTCAGAACTTGTCAGAAAATGTTCTTATTTTACCCGCCTACTTGATCAATAGTTTGGCTATGAGTAGAATTTTCATTTGAAAATCATTTTCCTTCAGAATTTTGAAGGCATTTCCCCACCAGTGTAACTGTTCGAAAACCTGAGAAGCCTCCTGTTTCCTTAAGGCTTGTGTTTTCTCTTTGGAAGCTTCTAGGATCTTATCTGTTCCCATTGTTCTGAAGTTTCACAGTGATGTACTCCAGGGCAGTCTATCTTCATTTTTTGGGCTGGCACTTTCCATCTGTGAACTCATGTCCTTCAAGGCTGAGAAATTTCCTTTGAATATTTTCATGGATATTTTTCCCCCTTGCTTTTCCTTTGTTCTTAATTTTCTGTTATATAGGGTATGACTAGGATGGTTGGAGCTCCTGGTTCTCTGGTGTTCTCACTGTTCGCTATTTTCTATCTATCCATGTCTTTTGGGTCTTCTGAGAGATTCCCTCAACTTGATGTTCCAACTTTTCTATGGAGTTTTTATTTTTGCTAGGTTGCTTTTAATTTCCAAGAATTAAAAAAAAATTTTTTTGAATGCTCTTTTTAAAAAAAAATAGAACCTCCTTCTTATTCATGGATGAATTATAGTCTCTTAGCTAAAAATATTGATAACCTTTTTTGAAAAAACATTCCCTTTTTGCCTGCTGTGTTTTGGTTTTCCCCAAATTTGTTTGTTTTGATTATTTTGATTTCTAGCTTCCTTTCTGGAGATTTTCCTTATATGTCTTTTAATCTTTGGTTATCTGTTGCTGATCAAGGATGAGAAACTAAAAGTTAATGGGTAGTGCTGAAGGGGTGGGAGGATTCCTGGAGACCCCTGCCCATGTTGATATCTGTTTGGTTTTTCCTCCTGGGCTGAGGAGATTCCCCAGGGAAAAGCACTCCACCATCTACCCTCCTACCAGAGGGAAACAGCATTTTGGGGAGATTCAAGATTCAGCCTACTAAATCCCTTCATTTTTGTTTTGTTTTCCAGGCTCTGATACCTGGTCCCATGGTCCAAATACCCACTGGTTCACTCTTTCTAGAGAGGAATTTCCAATCTTTTGCAGGGGAAGGGGAGGCCTAGTGCATGATGGGTAGAGATATAGGTTTCCTGACTTGCTTCTCAGCTTTCATCCCATCTTCCTTATCCTGCTGTCCCTTTACTCCCAGTTCCAGAGGGCCCAGGTGCTGCCAATTCCCAGATCTCTGATGATTTTTTGGCGTAGCTGTGGTGTTGATCTGCTTTTCCCACTGCCAGTCTAGGTGCCTAAATCAGCTATAACCACTCCATCCACGCACTCCCTCTTACCTATGCTCTCTGTTCTAGGATTATGCCTGTTTTTTTTTTTTTTAAATCCCTTCTGTAGTGGTATTTCTAGTTCTAGTGGGATTTTGGGTAGAAATGAAATTAGACATTTGCATCCAATCCATCACCTTAACCTGAAAATGAATACTATACATTCATTTGCCTATAATGTGTCCCCCAGTAGAATGCAGGTTCCTTGATAGTGGGGATCTGTTTTGTTCATTTCACACTTCCAACACCTAGACAGTGACTGAGCAGGATAAATGAATGACCTCAAATAAAGGACCTAAGCAGGGTATATGATTGTATACATAATAGACACTTGATAGGCAAGTGTATAGCACATTCAGAAACACATAGGGTCTAATAGAGTAGTTTCGTTTATTAATTTTAACTTTTTGGATTTTTGTTGCCATGGGGAACATTCCAAGTAGATACTGAAAGCTAAACTTGGAGAAGTGTTATCAGCCTTTAAATTAGGCTGATTTTCATACGCGGGTTGTATATTAATTTTGTAATTTTATAATCACAGACGAACCTGTACAGTGGACTTTTACTTTATCGATCTAGAGAAATAATGATCTGAATCTGGCTGTGTCACATATTGGTTCAAAATGTCATAGGAAATGTCATTGGTTCCTTACGTCACAGAAAAAAAAAACCAAACTCATGTCGTATCAGAGTAAAGTCCACACTCGAGGCAGTCTGTTATCCAGCCAGCAACATCAATAACCACCAAAAGTCCTACCCAGACCTATCTTTCAACTCTCATCTCTTTGATGAAAGTCATTTTATTAGCATATTTTTGCCTGCTAATAAGAAACATATTTGGCCGGGCGCGGTGGCTCACGCCTGTAATCCTAGCACTCTGGGAGGCCGAGGCGGGCGGATTGTTTGAGCTCAGGAGTTCGAAACCAGCCTGAGCAAGAGCGAGACCCCGTCTCTACTAAAAATAGAAAGAAATTAATCAGACAACTAAAAATACATAGAAAAAAATTAGCCGGGCATGGTGGTGCATACCTGTAGTCCCAGCTACTCGGGAGACTGAGGCAGAAGGATTGCTTGAGCCCAGGAGTTTGAGGTTGCTGTGAGCTAGGCTGATGCCATGGCACTCTAGCCCAGGCAACACAGTGAGACTCTGTCTCAAAAAAAAAAAAAAAAAAGAAAAAAGAAAGAAAGAAACATATTTGTAGCCCACTTATAGCACTAAGCACAGTGGACCGGGTATCATGGCAACTGTGTCCCTGTCTTGTTCACATACTACCAATCCAACAGGACTCAAATATTTCTTCAGTTGAATTAAATTATTGACCTGAGACCCCACCCTTTTATTTCCTCCTGGTCTAAAACCATCAAGGTAATTATAGTTAATGGTTTAAGTTTGTCATAAATTCACTGGGAAGTTTTATCAGCAGTGACAGCAAAGAGGATGTTGTTGCTCTACATCCTTGAAATTTCAACTACTCTTCAAGGGAGATTTTTATGAACAGAGCAAAAGATGTCTTTTGCCCTGGGAACATGTTTACTTTGAAATAATTACAAGATGAAAATGCATCTAAAAATGTGTAGAAAAGGTCTGAATTCAGAAAACTGTTAAAATACTGTGCAACTGATGAGTTATAGGAAGAGAAAGCTCACATTATGACAATATTAGAAATAACTCCCCTAGAAGGTCCACTCTCAAACAGGGTTGATGGGACACCACCTACAGCAGCAGGGCAATGCAACAACGTGTATCAAAGCTTTAAAATCCAGTGCGTATGGTGACTCACTCCTGCAATCTTAGCACTTTGGGAGGCCAAGGTGGGAGAATCAGCTGAGGCCCGGAGTTGGAGATCAGCCTGGGAAATGCAGCAAGACCCCATCTTTTAAAAAAAAAGTAGCTAGGTGTGGTGATGCCTGCCTATAGTCTCAGCTACTTGGGAGGTTGAGGTGGGAGGATCACTTGAGCTCAGGAGTTTGAGGCTGCAGTGAGCCATGATTGCACCCGGCACTCTAGCCTGGGGAACAGAGCAAGACTCTGTCTCTCAAAAAAAATAATAAATAAAAATAAAAAAGCTTTAAAAACATTCACCCCTCTGGATGCAGTATCTCCATTTTGGGGAATGTAGTCTAAAGAATAAAGCTATGAATAAAGATTCTTTCACAAGCATGTTCATTCCAGCATTGTTTATCATAAAGATTTTTTTTTTAAATAGAGTGGGCTCTGCCATCCAGGCTGGAGTGCAGGGGGCAGGGGATGATCATAGCTCACTGCAGCCTCTAACTTCTGGGCTCAAGCAATCCCATCCTCCTGCCCCAAGTCTACCAAGCAGCTAAGATCACAGGGTCACACCACCATACCTGGCTAATTTTTTTTAAAAATTATTTTTAGTAGAGACAGGGTCTCACTATGTTGCCCAGGCTGGTCTCAAACTCCTGACCTCAAATCATCCTCCTGTCTCAGCCACCAAGAGTGCTGGGATTACAGGCATGACCCATGTGCCAGGCCTTTATCATGAAGATTAGATACAACCCAATTGTCCAAAAACAGGGGAATTGGTTAAATTAAGGTACATATATATAATGTAAACAGCCATTAAAAATGTTCTGACAATGATTATGATTTAATTTTGCTTAAAACATGTTCATTATGTATATCAAGAAATAACTAAGAGGAAATATACCAAAATATTTGCACTTTCACCATCTGCTAACAGACCGTTATTTCTAGAACTTGGCGCAAAGCATAGGACATAGTAAGCAGCAAATGCATTAAAACAATTGACAGGCTGGGTGCCGTGGCTCACCCCTGTAATCCTAGCACTTTGGGAGGCCAAGGCGGGAGGCCTGAGGCCTGAGGCCAGGAGCTGGAGACCAGCCTGAGCAACACAGTGAAACCCTCGCTCTCTACAAAAACTAGAAAAATTAGCTGGGCATGCTGGCACACCTGTAGTCCCACCTATGGGGAGGCTGAGGCAGGAGGATTGCTTGAGCCCAGGAGTTTAAGGTTGCTGTGAGCTATGATGACATCACCACACTCCAGCTCAGGCGACAGAGTGAGGCTCTATCCCAGGAAAAAACCCAACTAATAGAAAACGCGTATGCGAAGAAGAAAGTTTAACACACATTTGGCTGAATCAACATTGGTTATCACTGAATAATGGTATGGTGTATAATTTTTTTCTCATAGTTTTAGATTTCAAAGTTTCTAGAAAGACCTCCTCATATAATTTATAATTATCACATAAAAAAGGATAATAAAAAGGGGGACACCCTTCGGACAGCCTCAGACAGGAGCTAGTAAGGGAGAGCGTGGCTCCTGGAACTCCTAGCTCCTGCCGAGGCCCGAACCCCAGCAGCCAGGCGAGGGACCCCGAAGCCCGGCCGCGCCCAGGCCGCTTCAGCGCTCAAAAATGGCGGCGGCCGTGCCCCGCGGCCAGAGCCGAGCGCTCCCGAGCGCTCCCGAGCGTTCCCGAAGCCCAGAGGAACTCCGGGAGCCGCGCGGGCGGAGCGGCCCCGCCCGGAGCCTGGAAGCAGTGGCGCCGGCGCGGGGGAGGGGAGGCCGGATGTGAGTGGAGCGGCCATTTCCTGTTTCTCTGCAGTTTTCTTCAGCTTTGGGTGGTGGCCGCTCCCGGGCTTCGGCTTCCAGTCCGCGGAGGGCGAGGCGGCGTGGACAGCGGCCCCGGCATCCCTCACCCAGCCGCCAGCAGCCGCGCGCCAGCTCGCTGCGCCCCGAGCCCGCCGCTTCCCGCCTCACTGCCTGGCCGCCGCCGCCGCGGCCCAGCGAGCGGCCCAGATGCAGGCCATCAAGTGTGTGGTGGTCGGAGACGGGTGAGTGCGCGGCCGGGTCCGGGCTTAGGGGTCGGGGTCGGGCCGCTGGGCGCGGGCGGCGGTCGGGCCGGGACTCGGGCCCAGGTAGGCCGGCGCGGGCCCGTGTAGGCCCCGGGCTGAGCCTCACTGCCGGGCGCGGGCTGCGGACGGGCGCCTCCACCCCACCCTACCCTCCCGGGCCCGGGCGGCGCGTGCCTGGTTCTGGCTCTCAGTGGGGGAGGGCCTCGGCGCTTGCCGGCCGGAGGGAAAAGTGAACTCCACCCTCGGCTTTCCTCCCGAGCCCGCTCCGCATCGGGCGGGACGCCGCCTGCCGCCCTCCGTTCATTGGCACGTAGATGAGGCGGGCTTGGAGATTTTTGCCTTTTTCCGAAAAGAAGTCTTTTCTCGGTTTTTGCATGAGCCCTCTTGAGAGCTGTGATGGGTAACGGCGGTCAGGTCGCTCCTGTTCGGTGAATGTTTGCACAGGCCACTTTGATGACCCTAAACTTACGACCGGGTTTCCTCGACTTGGTACTTAGCCACTTTTAGGATTCTTAAAATTACTATTTTCGCCCTTTCCGTGGAGAAACTTTTTGAGATGCTAGCTGTGAGGGGCCGGGTGTGATGAAGACTGTTCTTTTATTTGAACGTGGTGTGGTCATAAAAGAAAAAAAAAATTGTCCTGCGCCTAACGCATTAGGTATGGGATGTAGCAAGCAGAACTGGCTCCCCGTGACTCAAGGCATTTCTTTTCATTACTGTCCGTGGTGGTTTCAGGCCCTAGAGGAAGACAAGACTTGTCTTATGCAGTTTTTTTCCCCCCGTAGAAACAAGAATCTCAGTGTGATTCGAGCAGAATTGGGCGTCTCAGCGTAGCTTGTGTAGGTTAGTGTTAACGAGGAAGCTTGAAGAGTTACTACAGTTTCATCAAACTCAGAATGCAACTAACTGGTAACAATTTCAAGCTGAGTAAAGTCGAAGTAAAGTCGAAGTTCTGGCATCACTGTTAACTTTTGGTTGATATTCTTCAAACCCGTCATTAGCACTGATTTTATGCCTCTAAATGAATTTATGGATTCTCAGCTTATTTAGATAGTTCTAAGTTAGAGATTTGAAATTGTTTCTATAATTAATTCAGATGTGAGGACAATTAAACACTGATTTTTGTAAGCCACCCAGTCTGTGGCATTTCTTAGAAGTGTTAAGGATTATTAACACTTAATAATTCTATGTATATAATTAAAAATTGAAAGTTTCACTTAAGAATATGTATGCTTTTTTTAACCTTTTAAAAGAAAGCTTTGTCACTTGGGAAAAAATGCTCAATTAATTGGTTGGATGGTGAAATCAGTGAACTAGTTTACTTTTTTTTTTTTTATTTAAGTGACAGAGTCTGGCCTGGAATTTCGGGCCTCAAGCAGTCCTCCTGCCTCGGCCTCCCAAAGTGCTGGGATTACAGGCATGAGCCCCTTCTACTGTTCATTGGTTGTTTTATCGAGTCAGATACTTGTTGCATGCCTCCCATGGAATCTGGATCCTACTATTGAGTCCCCACCCCTTGACCCATCCCCAGGAGAGGTCCTTCAGGGGAAGTTAAACAAGACTAAACCAGATGCTGAGTATTAAGTGCCTGATAAGTGCCTGACCCTTTGCTTAGTGCGTAATAGGAGCCAGGTACCATTATCTTTATTGCTCTTTCTACTACTGTGAGGCTCTGTGAGGGAATATTGGGCTTAAAAAACACAGTTCCTCACCTTGAGTTTTCAGTCCACTGTTCTCATACTGTATTTGACATTGATGTTGTTGACCAGGGCTAAGTGATATTAGAAATGAAATATACCTTCACAAAAAATGTATGCTGTATTACTTTAAGGGAGTATAGGTAGCAAACATTACTTCAGTGAAAAATTTAGATACATAATTTTCTATACCAAAAATATTTTTTTGCATTGAACTGAATAAACTATATTCCTGATGATGTAGTTGGAATGTTCTTTTTTTCAAACGTTGTTAAAGCTGTAAGTATGGGTCTAAATTTTGTGGGGCGAAGAAACTATTTAATCTTGTGGAATTTCCAGCAATTGCGGAATTGCCAGCATTAAGCAGTGAGGGCAAACTGATTGAGGTTCCATAAATTTCAAGCTTTCTTATTTAAAAAATATTCTTAAGAGATATTTCTTTTCACTTCTTGCTTTGACCCTATTCCCTGGCTGTGGTGGTGTCCTTTCTGGCTATAACTCCTTCCAGCCAGCCTTCCTCCGTGCCTCTGTTTATCCAGGGCTCCTAAGGAAACACTACTCTTCCTTGTTCCTTCATCCCCAGGGAGGTAGTAGTAGTATCTTCTCAGTATTGTTCATCTTTGGGTGTCTTCCTCCTTAACTTTGCAACTTGGTAAATTACTCCTTCATTAAAATCTCTTTATTTGAACCCTCTGGGATGAATAGTTTCCTTCTGGGACCCTGACTGATAATATACCTATATAAAAGCAGTCAAAGATAATTTGCAAAGCATGTTGGAAAGCTCTAAATTAGGATCACTAGCATGTCAAAAGGGCACAAATAGGAAAATAAGATAAAAAAAGTTCTCGGAATTATGGTTAAAAGCTATGTTATAGCCATATTATAACAAGGGTCAGTTAGCCCTTATATTCTTCCAATGCATTATTTGCTATTTAGCAATTTAATTGGCATTAGGTATGCAATATGAGGTAAGATCTGATACTTTTTTATTCTAAGATAGTTCTTTAACACAGGGCCTATAACTTTGGGGGACCTTCGCCTCTAGATTTTCTTTCAGCTTTACTTAGATAAGACAGCATCTTGCATTCAAATATTTATAAACAACTATTTTTAATAGTGTTGTTTTGGCTTTGGTTGACTAGAACTGTGGTCCCCAACCCCTGAGACCCCTGAGCTCTAGCCCCCTAACCGCCACTCCAGAAAAATTGTCTTCCTTGAAACTCGGGGGGTGGGGTGGTGGGGCCTGCACAGCAGGAGGTGATTGAAGGGAAGCTTCATCTTATCTGTATTTACAGCCAGTCCTCCAACTCCGCCATCACTGTTCCCCATCCCATCCCTTGAATCGCTGCCTGAGCTCTGTGCCCCGAGTCACACTCCCCCCTCCCAAAAGAAATTGTCTTCCACGAAACCGGTCCCTGGTGCCGAAAAGGTTGGGGTCCACTGGACTAGAAGGCTGGGAGTGAATGACTTGAAGCTCCTCACATTTCACTCTATACAAAGTGGTGTCCATACTGGGCTAGCGATCTATACAGCCCGGTGTCTGACTTAGATGTTACCAGGAGTTTTTTTAGTTGAGCACAATAAATATCTTCTGCAACGTCATCCTTATAGGAACGTATACCATTTACTCTCGACTTCCGTTGAACAATGATGGCATGATGCGTGACTTTATTTAAGCTCTTAATAAGTTGTCTTTCTGTGTTTTACTCTCCAGGAATGGGTTTATTTATTACCAAGAGATAAGCAAGACATATTTTTGACCTGTTGTAAAGGTATTTGGACTTTGCACTGGCTTCCAATTTAGGTTTAGTATATGGCTCTGATCTTGATTGTTAAAATTATACATGATACTTTTTAAAAAAATTTCAAGTGATAATCCCAGTAGAAGTTTGAGGTTGGGTTAAGTGGAGGAGTATCAGGAAACCATTTTTAGAAACCTTAAATCTACCCTTTATAATGTTCTGTCTTTTGCATTAGTCATCTAACATCTTAGTACTTCCTACTTTTTCACCTCTGTATCACCAGGTAGCTCTGTCTTATAATTGTAGTCTTCCTGAAAAGAGATGTTTTTATTAGGAATCCTGCTACCATGGCAGTTTCCACATGTGATCAGAGGAGTATTTTTCCTGCAACATCTTAATATGAAAAATTTCAAACATACAGAACAGCTGAAAGAATTGTGTAGTCAACACCCATATACCTATTGCCTAGATTCTGTGATCAACATTTTGCTCTATTTGCTTTGTCATATGACTTCCCTTTATCAGAGGGAGTATTTTAAGAGGATTTAATAGAGGAGTTGATTTTTAAGGAAAATGGGGATAGTGTGCAGTTAGATATAAATTCTTGTTTTTGAACTCTGAATGTTCAGCTGACTCATATCAACTACACCAGGGTTAGACTTGATGATTCTGGAAGGGCAGTCTAGAGTAAAGCCAGCTTCAGACTTCAACTCTGTTATGGGTAACATCTTTAGCCTGAGTTTTTGGGAAACTTTGTGCACAATCTTAATTTTTTGAAGCCTCTAATGGTGATAATGGCTAGCTGGCTTTCTGTACTTTGGTTGTGATGTCATCTGTTGGTAGTAGAACATCAGAATTTTAGATTGGGTTTTGTGTTTTGTAGCACTACTCGAGTCATACATATTTCTGAACAGATTCTCCACATAGTTATATATTTGTTGAAGGCCTTCTGTTATAGAATCCCCATACTTTATTTCTCAATGTAAATTGAGGACCTTCATTCAAGGTCTTTAACTTAATAAGTATGAATATATATATATATATTTGATACATGTATTATAATTCTACTAACTTATCCTTAAAATCTGTCTACTTTTAGACAGCAGTATGTCTTCTGTATTTTGGTTTACAGTTGTCATTGTCATTAGAAGAGTCTGGTTTTTCTGTCCTAAGATCAATTTATGTTATTTTTTTTGTATTTATTTTGAGACAGGGTCTTTCTCTTTGGCTTGGACTAGAGTGCAGTGGCATCATAGCTCACTGTAACCTCAAACTCCTGTGCTCAAGTGATCCTCCTGCCTCAGCCTCCTGAGTAGCTGGGACTACAGGCATGCGTGGCCACGCCCAGCTAATTTTTCTTATTTTTTGTAGAGATGGGGTCTCAATATTGCCCATGCTGGTTTCAAACTCCTGGCCTCTGGCGATCCTCCCACCTCAGCCTCCGAAAGAGCTAGGATTACAGATGTGAGCCACTGTGCCCAGCCCAAAAGTTCTTATTTTTGAGCTTCCTGGATGCCTTACTAACGTGAGGAAATTACAAGGTTAACAGGTTGATTGATTGTATGTGCTTTTAAGTTTTGGTTTATAGATTTCAGGAAGTAACGCTAAAGTTTACCTCCAAAAATAAATAAAAAGTTCTTTTAATGGAAAAATGAAGAACGTAGTAGGAACATAAGTTATTGGCTTTAATCTTGGTTGTTTCTACAGGATAGGGCAGGGGAAGCACAGATAGGTTAAAAAAACTGAAGTGTCATGAGCTAGGGGAAAATCCAATATAGAACTGCTGTGAACTTTCTTCCAGCAGACTCATGTTCATTTTCTGGAGTCATGGCATCTTTCAAAGATTCAAAAGAAGTTGAACTGAGCAGTTAAGTATATAAAGTTGGAAACTCCAAATAGTAGCTTCCAAAAATTCTGCAGCAGCATCAATCAAGGGCTTGTGGCTATGTACCGCTTCCATTCTTCACAGGGGAAGGCCATGGACTTTGCCTAATGCTGATGTTGATTTTGGTCTCTAGTGCGGTGTTGACAAGGAATTAATAAATAACATTAATGAGAGGGAAATAATGTTTTTCTTTGATATGTTTTAAGTAAAAATTTAGTCAAAGTAAGGACATGCACTTACCCCAAAAATCAGAATTCTATAATTTAATCATGCTCTTATAATGATTGGTAATAAAATTTCGGTGAATATCAGATTATGCCAGTACCTTGAATTCCTTCATAGTTAAGCTTTTCAAAAGATGATGCCTCAGCTGAAGATGTAGTTCAGGAAAGGAAGTTTTAGCGATTTTAGCACAGCTAGTTGTATTTATAGTAATGGCTTTGTTCTCATATCTGTAGAAGAGACTTAGGAGGGGTCTTAAAAGAAGTGCTAATGACATTTTGTCATAACTGTGAAAAACCTCACAAAGGTTTATCTGCTGCTTATCTTTGACATTAAGTGGCAATAATTGTTAATGTTTTTTAATACAACCTTTGTCATTTTGGAAAAGGTCCACTTATCCTGGCCTCAGATGCCACTCTGTTCCTCAGCTACCACATCCAACCCATGGCCAAGCCATGCTTGTTCTACCTGGTGTTTAAGTAGCCCATGCAACACCCATTTGTGTTTGCTTTCCAGTCCCCCTCCTGGTCTAGACCACCATGGGTGGTTCATAAAACGCAGCAGCTTCCTTGTTTTCCTGCTTTGTGTCCTGTTGTCCTCAGGTCTCTTGCCATGCTGCAGTTGGAGGCTTCTAAAATCTGATGCTTTCTTGGCAATTTAAAACCTCCTGTGGCTTCCCAAGGAGGATCACATCCCACGCCCTTAATAGGAAGAGGTGACAACCTCTTCACATTTCCCTCTGCCACTGCCCCCTCATTTATTTAAGTTATGCTGGGATTATTTCTGTTTTGGGTCTCCTCATACACTTTTGCATTTATTCCCCTCATCCTGTCCCCACTTCTTGTGCTTCTCAACACACACTGCAGCCTCCTCTAACTGCCCCCAAGGCTAGGTTAGATCTTTTGCTGTTCATTTCCAGAGCATCCTTAGTAACGCTCTGTAACACGTATAATTATATGTAATGATTGTATTCTTCATTTTTTAATTTAATAACTGCGTACACTCAGTGAGGCCTTACTGACTGCAGTATCTTTAGCCCCTAGTACGCTTTCTGATATAGCACACAGTTAGTTGGTATGAATTGAAATTGAATTAATGCTGACAATAGTTTGGTGATGGAGTTGGTAGTTTTGCATATTTATTTTACCGAGAAAAGTGAAGCATAAGGAAGGAAGTCGAAATTTACCAAAAAGCTACAGCCAGTAAGTGATAACAGTTGGCCCTGAGTCATAAAAACAGCTTTCTGACTCCAAATCTTAGGCTCCTGCTTATACAGGTTAAAAGCTCATTATACGCTTTTAACAAAATGTATGTCTAGTGAGTCATTTCTGTTTAGAATGCCTGTAGGAGTTGGAAGTTATCTCCTGATGATGTAATGTTTGACTCTCTGAGGTCTTTGGGGTGGGGAGTTCCAACTTTTGTTAAGCTCTTAATAATGTTACCAGTGAAACAAGTATTGGCAAGACTGGATGGGCCTGTAATCTGCCCTTGTTGAGAGGTTTTCACTTTAAGCTAAGCGTGAGAGGGAAAATAGAAAAGCACTTTTTTATGGTGAATTCTAATTTATAGTATTTGAGATTGAATGACAAAATCTTAAAAATCATAACATCAGTGTATCATCATGACCTTGGCAAGCCCAATAGAGGATAGCAGGGAGAGGGCTTATTAAGGAGAAATTTGGTGAATTAACCCTCAGGATGGCAGAGACATGGGCTCTCACAGAAGCCTCTAAAGTCACCCTGTGACTGTTGTAAAATTTGGAGGCATTTATTTTTTGCTAATGGTGAGATGATCTTAATTTTTAGGTGATACTCTCTTAAAAAAAATTTCAAGTGGTTGTCAACCACCACTGTTTTCTGCTTGATTGCACACTGCTAATACTATTACCAGTCTTGTACCCATGACCAGTTGTGCTGGTGTTGCTCCTGTCTCTGGAGTATTTCTCCCTGGTTGTCTGGGAAGTTCACTCCATCATCTCTGAGCCATTATTAATTAATATGTCTGGAATAGATTATGTTGGTCTCTGCTTAAAGGCTTGTGATGATATGTGAGGATTGGGGGCTGGGGGCAGGTGGCAAATGAATACAGATGAATTAATGTGAGAACAGTTAATGTGTGGTGGTTTATCGACTAATTACTCAATATTAAGAGAACAGTCATTACTGACTGCCAGAGGGAAGGCTTTAGGAATGTGGTGGGATTTTGAGCTGTGCCGCTTAGAGGCAGCAAAATAAGTTACTTACAGAAGTAACAAAGTATAAGTTGCTGAGGAAAGGTATGTTTGTATATTAGTATTAATGAAAATACTTTTGAGGGTAGAATTTAAGTTTCTTGGATGAAAGGCTTTTGCATATGTTCACAGAAGAGACAGGTTTTAAAATGTTGTTTCTCTTGAACCTTGTACTTGCCTATTTCTTGACTATTAGTGCTAAAGTCACATACTTAAAACAGAATGTGACAGCTCCTGACTCTACGTTTCTGAATAATTGTAGTTTGTTTACTTTAAATTTCAGGATAAAAATGTGTGTGTAGTGTTAAAGGGTTACAGAAAACTGATTGTATACTTGATTTTTTTCTAGAAGTTATTTTAACAGAATAATGAAAGCTAGGATTACATTTCATGTTGACTAAGCAACCTTTTTTTCTTTCTCTCTTTAGAGCTGTAGGTAAAACTTGCCTACTGATCAGTTATACAACCAATGCATTTCCTGGAGAATATATCCCTACTGTGTAAGTATCTTCAGTTAAATTGGGAATTAACTTGCCTGTGTTATGTTTTTCAGATTCTTTTGACTCTTTGTTTTGCTCTAAAGCCATTCTTAATCCTTATATGAGCAAATACCATTAATTTTCTTATATAACGTTCACTGAAATATAATTATAAGGTATTTTGGGCTTTTAAAAAAATACTTAGTCTAATGTAAAGTTTTCTCATATGATGGAACAAACACACCTTTCCTAATTGATTTTTCAACATTTAGGAAATAAAATTAAACTAACTGTGAAGTATAGAGACTGGATAATGTTAAAACCAGTGCTGGACAAAAGGACTCCAACCAAAAGTTTGGTCGGAGATAGTCCTTGTCTAGGTAAGAGTTTCAGATAAATTTGGCTCTCTGGGAACTGGAACATGAAGCACTCCGTTCTCTAATTGGTCTTCAGTTTGGTTACATGTCACTGTGGAGTTACAGGGCTCTGGAATTGAAACCCGGGTGTGTGTGGGGCGGAGGGGTGTTTGCGAGGATGGTCTTTTGAATTACTTATTCCCTATGGGCAGCAGAACTGGGTGGAGATGGGAAAGTGCTTTTCTGATGATGAATTACCAGGGAGCCCCCTTGTAGCAGGGCCTCATAATGTACCGCACCATAACCACTGTGAGTGTTCACTGTCTGCATGCTGGAGGAGATGCCACCTCAGTTCCTACCTGTGCTCACTTCCTCGAGTACAACACCACACACTTAGGTGCTCTCTGAAGTGTTGAGCTTGTTTTTTCAATCATACTGTCCATGTTATCCTGAATTTATGGTGGAGATTTTTCTTATCCACACATGTAGATTAGAGCTTAAATAGTTAATGATTAATTATTTATTTATTTATTTTTTTTTTTGAGACAGAGTCTCACTGTGCTGCCTGGGCTAGAGTGCCGTGGCGTCATCTTAGCTCACAGCAACCTCAAACTCCTGGGCTCAAGCGATCCTCCTGCCTCAGCCTCCCAAGCAGCTGGGACTACAGGCATGCGCCACCATGCCCGGCTAATTTTTTCTATATATTTTTAGTTGTCCGATTAATTTCTTTCTATTTTTAGTAGAGACGGGGTCTCGCTCTTGCTCAGGCTGGTTTCGAACTCCTGAGTTCAAACAATCTGCCCGCCTCGGCCTCCCAGAGAGCTAGGATTACAGGCGTGAGCCACCACGCCCGGCCCAATGATTAATTATTTTGAAGTACTATAACTGATTTAACCACTGGTCATTTAGAATTTATCTTTGGTATAGTGTGAGACAAGGACCTGATTTCTCCCCACCCCCCATAGGGGAAAAAGTCAAAATATCATTTACTGAATATCTATCCCTTTCTCATGGTTGCACAGTTAGAACATTCATCAGACCTTTTCTTTGTGAAAGCCAGTTTGGTCATTAAATTCTATCACATTGGAACCTTACTCAAGACCTTGACTCTGCTATCACAATGTAGTAAGACTCCCTGAAGTTTTAGTATAAGGAATATATAAAAATAAATTCTTGACTTTTATCGTAAAGGCTGATGTATCCTCAGTTTTGTTTGCCCTGGTTTGAATTACAGGGCCAGGTTTTGTTTTGTTTTTTTAAATGAACTACTTTGATACCAGTAACTATTTTTAAGGTCAGCTTTATTTTCCTACTGTCAGACTGTATGCTTTTCTGGGCTGCCTTTTCCTATAGTTAACTAATTTATGAGTAGCAACTTCAAATTAATTTGAACATTTGTATAATTGGGTACACTCACTTTGAAAACATTATGGGGTGGCTTCTCAAACCAGGTGTGTTTTGTGTTACCACCCTACATTCAGGTGTAGGGTGGAAACACTTTGGAGTGTAGCTCTGTGGTCACCTGCCTTGCTGAAAATGAGTAATGTATGTACGTGAAAAACCCAACAAGTGGGATTTGAAAGAGGGGCTAATTTTACACTTTATTTCTTCCTGGGAAGAAAAAAATCTTAACTTTCTACTTCTTAAAGGTTTTTTATTGCTGATAGTAATTTGTTTCACTTAAATAGCTTGTCCTTTGTTTCTCAGACACATGTCTTTCTTAAGTTGTGGGTTTGGTTTGTTTCCCGTATACTCTAGGGCCACCCCCTTTTCCCTCCAGGCTTCTCCTCCTCATGCTCAGGGGGCATTTGCTGGTGTGTGATCCTCCCAGGGCCATTCCAGGTCTTCTCCTCAGCACACCTCCTCTGGCATGCTGGCTAGGACAGTGACTTAGGTCCCATATTTGTGACTGACCACTTTTATTCTATTCTACAGCTTTGACAATTATTCTGCCAATGTTATGGTAGATGGAAAACCGGTGAATCTGGGCTTATGGGATACGGCTGGACAAGAAGATTATGACAGATTACGCCCCCTGTCCTATCCACAAACAGTAAGGATTGCAACTGATTTCTAATGTGTCTTTTAGAGTATACAGTTCTCGAATGTTTAATTAATGATCTCACTACAGAATTTCTTATAGTGCTATCATTTGGATATATCATGTAATAGCAAGTGAGGTTAAATTGGTTCGTTCAGTAGTAAATATCCCTTAGATGCAAGCCAGAGTTTTTATTTTTTGAGCATCACCAGTTATTCTGATGCTGTGCATTTTACATTCTTCCTTTTAGTTTTAGGACAATCATATGAAGGGGGTAGAGTTTTTTTGTTGTTGTTGTTTTTGCAAACCAGTTTTTAACAGCAGTTAGTTTGAAGATGGTTTGCTTTGTGACAATTTTGTGCCACAGAATCAAATTAAGCAATTAAGATTAAGGTTCTTTAAACCAAGTTAGTAGCTAATCTTGTTTAATAATTACATTTCTTCCATAAAATACATAGTTTCTATGGCTTTAGTACCTAATTCTGTTCAGTGTAGGTTAAGGTTTCAGTTTTATAAAATGTGTCCACTGTATCCAATCGGAAGAAAACTTTTAGTTTTGCTTCTGTATCAGACAATTAAATGATTTCTTTACCAGAGCTTATTAGAGCAGGACCTGGCAAAGACAGTGTTGTGGTTAGAAGCCACTTTTCTTTAAATAAGCAGTTGTCTTACATGTGTGTCATTTGCTTATCTTGTTAATATTCTTTATTTTTCAAAGTGTTGTCTTGGAGACAGAATGATTAACTAGTTGAAGCAAAACTTAAGTGAGCAGGAGAGGCAACAGAGTAGATTCCTTGGGTTCAAATCCTGATCTCTCACTAGCTGTGTGACCTTAGGCAGGTTTCTTCATCTCTCTAGTCCTTACCTGTTTCCTCATAGGACTGGATGAGTTAATACATGTACTGCACATACATCAGTCCCTGGCACGCCACAGACATTCAGTGTTAGCTGCTGTTAGGATTCATCCTCGTTCTTATTTATGTGTATTGATCAGTCTAGAGAACTCAGCAGTTCCACCTTTTCCCAAATGAGTGGAAGTTACTGTGGGTGCTCTGAGCAAGCCTGGGTTGGCCGGCGCGGGGGCAGGGTCATGGTTAAGTTCAGGGTCAGAGTCAGAGACACAGCCTAGAGAAAGGCAGGCTTTGAGTCCTGATAGATGGGGCAGCCTTTGATTGGTTTAACCATTACTTTCTTTTAGGAGGTAGTATGGATGGAAATAACTAATTAATTCTAGTCTACCAGAATCTTGTGTTTTGTTTTTTTATGAACTTCTTGTTTAGTAGTGGTAGTTTTAAACTTTTGAATACACTTTTTTCCCTGCAGCCATCACTGTCTTATATGTTTATTTCTGCTGAAAGTCTCTTTCAGCTGTAGATTTTTTGTAAATTATCTTTTAGCTGAATTCTAGTTAACAGTGCTAAATAATGACCAAAAATATAAAATGGGAAGTTTGAATTGGGTGATTTCTCAGTAACCTACAGCTAAAAATTAACTATGATTAAGTATTAAAAATTAACCCATAATCACCAAATGATTCAAATTCTTTAATATCTTAGGAAACTATTCTATACCTGGTAGGTATTTAATAATTCTAGATTTTAAGTGGGTTTGGAAACATTAATTGGTAGAGTGGAGTCTCCAACACACTGGATACATGTGGAAGGGTGTGGTGTCACTTCTGAGAAATGAGAGCCACCCTGATGTGACTCAAGGGTACAGAGTAGGGTGAGGCCTTTTTCTCTAAGGGAGTCACTCATAGTAAGTCAAAGGTGACATGGCAAGAGTCCTACTTTGTGCGCTGAGGAACACATAGATAAGTAAGGTGGACTCTCCTCCATCTTAACTAACTGAATAAAGCTGTAGTGTGTGAGGCCTGAAATCAAAGTGGGTGTTGTCTTTATGGGGCTAGGACTTAAAGTTTTATGTCTTATATGTGTAAAACAGTGCACTGTTTTCCTATAAAATATTTGAGTAGCAAGAAGGGAGTAATACATGATGCTAGTCCTCATGCAGCTCACAGAAAATTCCCATAAACCAATCACTGTGTAAGACACCCTGTACCAGCAGGGGGTTGGGAGGTACCCAACTAGCAGTTGAAGACATGCCTGCTTGGATTCTGTTGGAAAAAAGGAAATTATCTTGGCTACTAAGGGGCAGGCCCTGAATACTCAAATACTGGTGGTGCCTGGAAAGTCTAGTCCTTTGAGCCACATTGTCCTAAGAGGAGCGGGCTCTGGGAGTTACAGGCTGGCCCCTTGGTCTCCTCTTGAAAAGGGGAACCTCTAAACTGTATGCTGAGTGGAACGTGGTCTCTGGCTGTTGGCTTTTTGGTCTGCAGCCAGTTCATGTGGCTCATCCAAGACTGGGCTTAGCCCCACACCTGAAGGACCAGTTAGGAGATTTCTTTTCTAGGGCATCCTACAAAGAGATGTTACATTTCCTGTGGTCATTTAATGTTGGCATCCTCCTCCTTTGTTGGGTAGCTCTGTGTAGCTAAGTTAAATCTATTTAAACCATTCATTTCTACTTAGTTCTCCAAAAGATGGTCAGCAAGTATTTTCAGTTGAAATTGCCCTATTTTTCCAAATTAATCTGTAAATAAGTTATCTTTATTTTCCCTTAAAAATATTTTGTAAGTTCTGCATACTCATCTTCATTTGGCATGCACAGAATCCTGGTAGGATCAGTGTAATATGCCCAGGTCCCCTGTACTTGCCTACTTGTGCCAGAATTAGTGGTGTATGTGGGAGCATTAGTAACAAGCCAGCATCACAAGGCCTGAGCCCCGTGTGTGTCCCAAGACCCAGGCTGCACACCACCCACTATGGTGCTAGGGGCCTCTGTGTTCCAGTCAGCCAGGACCCCTGTGTGTCGTGTGTCAGGCCAGTCTTTCCATTTTCTCTGTGTGCTCTGACTTGAGAAAGGTTTTAAAGTACCAGGCTAGAACCCTGTGACAGGAGATACAAAAGAAAAACTAAACTGTTTAGCTTGGCAATTTTGAGTTTCCAAAGTCCTCAAAATTGTGAGGTTGACCATTACAAGTGTCAATGTCCTCTAGCCAAAGATCATTAGGAACACACCGGTAGTTAAGATTGGGTTTGTTACTCTTTGCCATGAGGAAGACAGACTCCTGGGCGCTATGGGGTAAGATTCAGGCTTGTGTTGGGGGTGGGGCTCAAAAGAGCACAGGGGTTTGCTCTGGACTGGGCGCTGTCAGTGAGCTGGGTGATTCTGTAATCTCATCTAGAAGGTGGGAGAGTAAAGCAAGGCTAAAACTGATTGGTTTAAAAAACAGTAGTCCCTCACTTCTGTTGCCTGGGTGTGGGGTATGTTCGGTGATTCTGTAGTTTGCATAATGACCTTAGATTTGTCATAGACAAGGTTGTGAAGCGGTCTTTTTTTTTTTTTTTTCATTCCAAGCTTTTAGACAATGAAGTGGTCTTTTGTTTATTTACTTCTGGTCTCATGTCAGCATGGTCACACAGTGACCTTGTCTGATGTCAGTGTTCTGGGAGATTGTTCTGTTCGACAGGAGCACCTTCACCATGGCAAAGCTGTGAGCACCGGGCCAGTTCTCAGATGTCGGGGCAGCTTTTCTCTTTTTTCTAATCTTATTTTCGTAGCAGCTCCACACTGAGGACACATGTCCAGCTTCTTTCAGTTCTGTCTTTTTTTTTTTTTTTTTTTTGCCATGTTTATATATCTGCTACTTTTCCCTGTGCATAGAAATATTTAAAAATATTTCAAGCCTGAAAGTAAAATCCAGGTGGAAAGCATTTGGAAGAGAATAAAATGAAAGAAAGAGAAGCAGTACTGCTTTTGGAGTAGTGAGATTTCAGCCATCTAAGACGTCTGCCCAGTCTCAGTCCACTGAAAGCAGACTCTCCTGGTGGGTGGTGCCGCTGACAGGCGGAGGAGGCGGCAGGAAGAACTGCTCCGCTGACTTCTGACCAGCGAGGAGGAAGTGGTTTGTGATGCAGGCATGGTGGGAGTCTGGTGTAGTAAGAAAGAGGAAAGTCACATTTGAGTTGACTGGAAACAGGCCAGTGACCAGAGACAGCGTGTGGCTCTAACACACCCGAAGAACCTGTGAGGAAAGAAAAGGAGAGAGACCCTTAATGAGACACAGGTGGTGCTCTCTGAGGCACTCCAAGTGTTACAAGGACAGAGAAGAAATAGAGACTCCCAGCCAGGGTCGGCCTGCGTAACCTCCACGTGCTGAGGCGTTAGGGAAGCAAGGGTCAGAAGGAATTAATGCTACAAAGTAAGTACCAGAAGCACCAGACGTGTTTTCTGAAAGCTATGTTTAGGCTGGGGAAGAAAAAGGAACAAGGAAGGAACAGGCAGATGGCGTAATGCTAACGTAGGAAGGAAAATGGAACTGCTCGGCTCATGTTGTGCCTGTTTCTTCTCCATCAAAAAGATGTTCTTAAAAATCAGGGTACAACAAATTTGATTAGAGGATATTTTGAAGCTGTATTTTTGTGACTGATCCCAGTGAGCCTCTGTATCACAATAAAGATTTGGCACCATATCAAGTCCTTGGGAGGACAAATCTTCAAAAATAGCCTATAGATTAAACCAAGATAGCTATGGAAACTAATACGCTCTTTGAATTGTAAATCAGAGATGCTTCAATGAGATGAAATTAGAATAATTCTCTTGTCCTTTTCGTAAAAGAATTCTGGGGTTCTGTGTTGGAAGAGCAAGTCTGTCAATTTTTATTATAAGAAACGAAAATGTGAAAAGGTTGTCTCTTCTAAAACTTGTCACTGAGGGGTGGCCTCATCCAAATCTACAAAGGGGCCAGGAATTGAGGGTCTTAGTGTCATCTGCAAAGGCACCGGGAATTGAAGGTCTTAGTGTCAGCGACACTGTTCATTTGGGTAATGCAATTCTGTAAATTCAAACCACACTCCCAGAACGAGGGGGAAGATAGGAACAAAATTTCTGCATAGGAAGGCTGGGTACAGTGGCTCATGCCTGTAATCCTAGCAGTCTGGAAAGCCAAGGTGGGAGGATCACTTTAGGTCAGGAGTTCAAGACCAGCCTGAGCAAGAGCGAGACCCTGTCTCTACAGAAAATAGAAAAATTAACTGGACATGGTGGCAAATGCCTGTAGTCCCAGCGACTAGGGACGCTGAGGCAGGAGGATTGCTGGAGCCCAGGACTTTAAGGTCACAGTAGGCTATGATGATGCCACTGCACTCTAGCCAGAGTGACAGAGTGAGACTCCATTTAAAAAAAAAGAAAAGAAAAATTTCTGCACAGGAGACTTTCAGTTTTCAGGCAGCATTAAAACTGTCAGCACTCAGACCTGGTTGTGTCCTGGAAGTGTCTTTTGTCTGGTGGGCATGTTTTACAGACAGGTGACTTCCCTGTTTGCTGTGGCTTCCTTCAGCAGGGCCTGTGTCTGATAACTTGGACGGAGCTCTTTGAAAGATGTGCCTGTTGGCTAATGGATGCCAGCGACAGCACGCGAGCATGCCTTGTGTTAACAGACGCTTCTAAACATCCCCAGCTTCGTGGGCATGTTGTCAGCTCTGGTGTGTGCTGCCACAGTAGAAGGAGCACCTTTATTGCATCCCCAGTATTTGCCTGACTTCTGTTTTCACCCTTGTTAAACTACCCAGGGAGATACCCTCTTTTGGCCAGGTTTCACGGAGTGTTCTGGTGGCACTTGTCATCAAAGTTATGTTAGATTATTATATGCTTTTGGATCCCTTGGGAGGGTTGAGACAAAATTCTGATATAAGAATCAATAACAGGTTATATTGATTTTTATTTTCCTGAGTTTGTACTAAATTCAAACCAAGTTCTCATGCATTACTAGGTTGGAGAAACGTATGGTAAGGATATAACCTCCAGGGGGAAAGACAAGCCGATTGCCGTATGTAAAACTTTCAATCGACTTCAGTTTCAAGCTTTATCTTTTCTCTCATTTCACTTAGTTTTCCTAGGATATCTTAGCCTCAAGTTCCTTGAGTGTTTTACATTTAATTCATTCAAGGTTGGGGTTTCGCTTGATGGAATAAGCTTTCATTAGAGCGTGCTGGTTGATCTACCAGCTTGATTGAAAGCAGTTTGAACTGCAGTCTTCCCTCCTCCCAAGTGAAAGGAGGGCTGAGTGAGAGGGTCTCTCTCCTGGCTGGTTGGAGATGGGATGTACTGAGTCAGTGCTGAGCCAGACAGGACTAACCTTGCTCAGGGCCTTCTTTTTCTGCTTTGGTGTTCTGTGTGGTGGGGCTGTCTGGGGCTGCCCTGGTGAGCTAACCTGTCCGTGCTTTGAGATGGTTTGCTGGGATGCTGTGGTGATTCTTGTACAAGCTTGTGCATGCGCCAGCATTTTTAAATGTCATTTATAAAAAGCTATTGTGTGGGATGTTTCTTTCCCTTTCAGGTACAAGATATCGGCTGGATGGTTTAAAGTGTTAGCTTGGGAATTGTGTGCATTTCACAAAGTAACATAATTGCCTTTTTCCATGAAAATGTTTTATAAACCTAGCATTTTAGAAACTCCTGGGCATTTCTTTTATACAGGTAAATATTTGAATTTGACTTTATACACAATACGGAATGGAAGGAGAAACTCAGATATTTTACATTTAGCAGAAATTCTCTCCACACATATATTCTGCACCTCATTTTCTTTGCATCTCTACTTTAGCTACAACTGCCCTGGGTACAAGTTTGCCAGAGGGCCTGGTTGTGTTTGAGAAGCTGTGACAGTGTGAGGGTGGTTATCAGCCAAGAAGATGCCACTTACACATTAACCCATCCTCCCTCTCTGAGGGAAGGGCTCATGTAGCAAATATTTGAGTCCCTACTTTGTGCCAGGGACTGTGATGAGCAGTTTCTAAAGAAGCAGTTAAATTAGAACCCAGTGACAACCTTAAAATGTTTGTACTTGACATGCCAGTGGCGAGCTTGATTGAAAAGCACACCATTTGTAGATACTGTTTTTAAAATGGACTCTGCTTTTGGGAAACAGACCTAATTTTATGGAAATATTGCAATGGTACCTTCATACTTGATTTTGTCTGTTTCAGTAATTAGGTTCCCAGTGGCGAGTTGGGAGTGAAGGAAAAGAGGCCTCCCAGGGTCTGGTTTGATACCTCTCTGGCCTTTGAATAGCTTCCAGCATATTCTCCTTCCACTTCACCCTTTCTAACAGTAACTGGTTGCTTGATGTGCTGATTCTGGTCTGGGAGCTGCCTGACACTGAAGGGGTGAATCCAGGGAGCTTTTGACATGAGCTGCTGGTGCCTTGTAGACACGCTCCGTGTCTGGTGACTCATTCCCAACAGCATTTAGAAAGCAAAGTGCATTCATCATTTTAAGATCGTTTTCTAAATGTCTCCTGTGTTTCCTTTTTATAGGATGTATTCTTAATTTGCTTTTCCCTTGTGAGTCCTGCATCATTTGAAAATGTCCGAGCAAAGGTAAGTGGGGATTTTGAAGAATATGTACTGTTATGTAATGTCACTCTTAGGAGGAAATATTTAAAAATACCATTACTGCTAAGAATTATTTAAATTGGTTTAAGTAATTTTACTACTTAGGCACATAATCAGTTTTTAAGTATATGACTTAAATACATAGATTTCTAAGGTTTCAGGTTCTGATTCAGAAGTTTCATGCTCCTCCTTAAAATAATGAAGCACTTTGGAGTTGGTCTAATAAAAATAATGACCATTTCTTTCCACTCCAGCATCTTTGACAAATTTCTTAGTGAAAATTACAGACCCTTTAGGTGTGGTGATCAGGGATGTTTTCAGTGGGGATTATGGTGGCAGAGCTGACACCTCAGTCTGGGTAGTTGTTTATTCTCATCCTTGAATAGATGGTGAATTTTCTGAGATGACCCTAAAAACTTAACTTGTTTTACCCAAAACAAAGCGATTTGCTTTTGGGGGCCCTTCCTTCCTGCTATTACTTGATAGGTAGAGCCTTTCCTGTAGGATCCTTAATCTGTGGGGGAGGGTCCTGGCTGGCTAATCAAACACTTCAGATATTCCTTATGGTTCTTTAAGGTTTGAATCGAAGGTGTGAACTGCATGAAGGCTCTGTAGGGAAGGCATTGACTGCAGTTGGGTGGCTGACACACTGGGACACCCATTGCATGTAATTTAGGTGAAGGAAGTTTATAAGGGAGAGTGTTATAACCTTTGTTCCTTTTTTCGCATCTAGTGGTATCCTGAAGTGCGACACCATTGTCCCAACACTCCCATCATCCTTGTGGGAACCAAACTTGATCTTAGGGATGATAAAGACACGATTGAGAAACTAAAGGAGAAGAAGCTGACTCCCATCACCTATCCGCAGGGTTTAGCCATGGCTAAAGAGATCGGTAGGAAATCCTGCCATTTTCATGCTTTGCACATCTTTTACTTTAGTGACAGAGTGGAGTCCAACCTGGGAAAGTAAAGTATGTTTTTCCTACTCAGGGTCTCGCTTATGTTTGGGGAACCCACTAAGCAAGGCCCTTCTGGGTCTTAATGTTAGCACTGGAAGGTGGAGGCAGGGTTAGGAGTTGGCTCTGCTGTGCTGTGCTGTGCTGGCAGGAGGTGCTAGGTTCCAGGGGGCTGCCTCTTACCATTATTCTGATCAGAAGAGGGACATTTGGAGTGTACAATGCCATGTGGCCATGTTTCTTGTAGGTGCTGTAAAATACCTGGAGTGCTCGGCTCTCACACAGCGAGGCCTCAAGACAGTGTTTGACGAAGCTATCCGAGCAGTTCTCTGCCCACCACCTGTCAAGAAGAGGAAGAGAAAATGCCTGCTGTTGTAAATGTCCGAGCCCCTAGTTCTTGGTCCTATCCCTTGGAACCTTTGTACGCTTTGCTCAAAAAACATTGGAGCCTTTGCACTCAATGCCAAGTTTTTGTTACAGATTAATTTTTCCATAAAACCATTTTGAACCAATCAGTAATTTTAAAGTTTTGTTTGTTCTAAATGTAAGAGTTCAGATTCACATTCTATTAAAATTTAGCCCTAAAATGACAAGCCTTCTTAAAGCCTTATTTTTCAAAAGCCCCTGTTCTTGTTCAGATTAAGAGTTGCCAAAATACCTTCTGAACTAAGTTGCATTGTTGTGCTATGAACACTAAGCACTAAACTGTTTAAAGACCTTTGTCTTTAAGAAGACTGTAGCTTCTGAAGTTAGGAGATGCAGACACTTTCTAAGTAGTTTTCAGATATGTAAAGCATATCAGCCTCTTTAATGAATCGTTGCCATTTAATGCATCAATAATTTATCTGCCCATGTTCATTACATAACATTGTACTGTATATCATAATGGAATGAGTATAACAACTCAGCTCTTTGGATCAGTCTTTTGGATTTCATAGTGAATTTTTTAAAAAAATTAGTTGATCAGCTTTTGCTGAGATTTTGAACAGAACTCTTATTCATGTGTTTCCTCTAATGAAGTATTCTGCTCTTAGTCATGGGTGCGCTGGGGTGGAATGTGTGAAACACTTAATGTGATCAAAGGATGAAGACAGTATTTTGACAAAATATGAAGTGGAGATTAATTTACACTACATTGTACAAGGAATAATCAAACTGAATAAAAGTATCACGGGTACAAATTTTAAAAGGTTAATTTCTTTTAAATGCAGATGATGAAGAAAGGTCGGTATTATCAGTAAGTGTTTTCTTAAGCTTTTCCTTTCTCTTACACCTGCCATCTCTCCCAAAATTGGGCATTTAATTCATCTTTGAACTGGTCATTCCCTTAGTTGCTAACTTAGTGTTTTTCTATAGAACCCCTTTTTAATGAGCAATATGCCTCCTTGTATTATAAAATCTTTCTGATAATGCATTAGTTTTTTTGTAGATTAGTAAAAGTGCTTTCCTGTTTTCATGTTACTTTATTCAGAGCTAATAAGTGCTTTCCTTAGTTTTCTAGTAACTAGGTGTAAAAATCATGTGTTGCAGCTTCACAGTTTTAAAAATATTTTAGATATTCTTAAACTATGAACCTTCCTAACGTCACTGTCTCGCCAGATTACCAACACTGTCACTTGACTGAGACTGCCCCTCTTTACCTCACCCACACGGACACATGCTTCCTGTCATTGCTTTGCCTAATAATGTTCCTTGGGTCTGTGAGGTTCTGTAAACTGTGCTAGTGCTAACAATGTTCTGTACAACTTAACTCACTGGCAAGAATACAACGTTGGACCTTTCAACCACTAGAACAAAATTTTTTAAATTGACAGTTGCAGAATTGTGGAGTGTTTTTACATTGATCTTTTGCTAATGCAATTAGCAGTATGTTTTGCATGTATGACTTAATAAATCCTTGAATCACATGACTGGTAATACTTGAATTTTTGAGACTTGATGAACAAGCTCTTGGTGTGTTTGCCTCACTTTAAAATCCTGGGTTATTGGAGACATTCATTGCCAATGCATGTTTTCACACAGGAGGGACAGAAGGAGTGCCACCTCCAGGGAAGAAGGTGGGCGAGTCCACAGTTAAACAATACAGCAGGATGGGAGGTGACGCGTTCAGGTGTGGATCTGTCAAGTGGTGGTGAGATGCTCACATGGAGATAGGCACACTGGGGCTTGTGCAAGTACATCTTGGCCTAAGGCTTGGGGCTGAAGATGCACGTGTTGGGAGCCCCGCACAGCAGGGCAAGGTGGAGGCTGGATGGACTGTACAACCTTAAGGTCCTTTCCAGATCCTGAACTTGAACAAGGTTTATGGTAAAATTAGTTTTATAAATATTCCTTTTTATTGAAGATTGTTTTATTTTTCCAAAGATAATGCAGTTTAAAAAAAATCAAACAGTTATAAAGGTTAGAAAAACAGCAGTCTTCTCCCTTTATACTTTCTCTAAAGACGAGACTTTAACACTTTCAGTTCATTTATCTAATTTTTGATAACTTATCTCCACGTCTAAATTATTTACTTTTCTTGCTAGTTGAATCTTTCAGGTTAAACATTACTGTTGATATTTCCACTGTGGAAGATGTTTGGCTTTCCTGCACTGTACCCTTCCCCCTGCAAACACACCTTTCCCATTCCCCTAGTGTGATGATTTTGGTGGGCTCTTACCATTTAGTGTTGCACGATTGTTACTAAACTACTCATAGCCACGCCATGTAGTAACAGAACTCTGCCTTTTCTGCACAACTTTCGATTTCCTTTGAGTAATTAATGCTTAATTTGCTTAGTTTTCTGTGTACTTAATAATTCAACCGTGAATTTCTTTTATCTAAATTTCTCAAGATGCTCAAATATATTTTGTATTTTATTGATTTTCATTTTCCTAAAGTCTCAGAATCATCTGAACTTTACCTCTCTTAAGTGTTGACCTTCATTTCCTATAGCCTAAGTGTGTTTTTTGATTTACTTTATCCTGATGAGTAGCTTCTCCAAGAGCTTCCTGAGAAAGGGTGTGTGGAAGTATATAAAGTCACATGCTGCATGATGTTTTGGGCAACAGACCATGTTATATGACAGTGGTCCCATGAGACTGTAATACCGTATTTTTGCTGTACCTTTTCTATGTATAGATACACAAATATTTTAAGATTGTGTTGTGGTTGCCTACAGTATTCAGTATAGTAACATGCTGAACAGGTTTGTAGCCTGGGAACAGTAGGCCGTACCAGGTAAGCCCAGGGTGTGTAGTCGGCTTTATCATCTAGGTTTGTATGAATATGTTCTATGGTGTTTGCACAATGATGAAATTGCCTAATGCATTTCTCAGAAGGTGTCCCCATTGTTAAGCAACACATGACTGTATTTTTGAGCCCCCTTGCGTCCTTGTGTCTTTGAAAATAACTGTTCTGTGATGCTTCTGGCTGAGACTAAAATTCTAGGTTGGTGATACCTTCCTTTCAGGTTTTTCCATTTTACCTAGAAGAAGGAAAGAGACAGGATCTGACTACCTTGCCTAGGCTTGACTTGAAATTCTGGGCTCAAGCAATCCTACCTCAGCCTCCAAAGTAGCTAGGACTAGAGGTGTGTGCCACCACACCTGGCTGCCCTTCAGATTTGTGAAGGCAGTTCTCCCGTTACTTTCTTAGCCATTTCCATTGGAGTGTATTTTTTCTTATTTATGTGTCTTGTGAGATTTCCCTTTTGTCTTCCACATCCTAGGGTTTACTTTTATGCTCTGTACTTGGTGGGCTCTCTTCATCTAGAAACTAATCTTTCAATTTTCTCTTCTTTCTGGAACTCTTATTCCGATATTGGACCTCCTGGAATGGTCTCAGCCTTTCCTTTTCCTGGTTTGTCTTTCTGAGTTTTGATTTCATCTCTCATACTTTTAAGTCTCAGGTGTTCTTTTTCACTCTCTAAATATCCACGTTGAGCCTCCTGGGTTGGTTTTGTGATTGCAGCACTTTTTCTGTGTCCTAAGCCATTGCTGGGGTTGTCTGGAGCTTCTGCCCGCATCATGTTTCTTTTGGCCTCCTTCCTTGAGTGTCTGGCAGTCCTTGGCTGATGCTTAAAGGTTGAGAGTGGAAATAGCACAGCAGGAGGGTCACAGTGCAGCACGTCAGATCTCCTACCTGTCACTAGGTAAGTGCAGGAATTGTGTTTAGAAATGAAATTTGTAGCAGCTGGATGTTGCCACGGCATTTCAGTTGTGAGGTTTTTTAATGAGGCCCTTTTCAGATTTTCCAAAGCTCTACGGTGACGTGGCTGCCACAGCTGAGGGTCCCCAAGACACATCTCCTGAGGTCAGATTTCCCCGGAGGATTTTCTCTCTGAAGATCCTGGGAGCTGAGTGGGAGGAGCTGAGGAATGTCATCTTTCCTCAGCTGTGCTGGTGTCCAGTCCCACCCTCCGCCCCAGAGCACAGGTAGGGTCAGGTTTCTTCTAGCTTCCAAGCAAACCCGCTCTGGCTGGTCCTTATCTGTGTCACTTACACATCCCAGGTGCATGAGGAATCTGTCTTGTCTGTCAGGTTAGCTCACCTTACCTTCCCCCTTAGGATTCTGTTTGACTCTAGCCATCCAGGTGTTCCTGTCTCCTTTTCCCCATCTGAGTCTATGCTTTTAAACTTAAAAAAAAAAAAAAAAAACACCAAAAACTTATTAAAACATGATTGCTGTAAAACCACCCATAAGATAGACCAACCTGGAAACCTCCAATAGAGGAGCACATTACTACACACACAGACACTGATGACATGTGCTTTATTTTTTAACTCCCTCTGAATCCACTGGCCAACCTCAGAACCAGAATAGTACATGAGGATTAATCAACTCGATGTTGACAAAATAACCAGACAATGTAAACAAGGAGCTGGAGTATTGCAGCTCGGGAGAGGGCAGGAGCCATGGTCTCCACTCATTTCCCCAATCAGGTTTTGGCTTCGTTCCCAGAGTTCAAGGCTGTACTTAGAGCCACCCGGGAGAAAACTCGAGGCTGCACCCTCAACGGTTTTTTGCATAGCCAAGAAAACTCAGTTTGAATAAACTGCGCACCTCTAAGCCAAGTTCAGTAAAAAGGGTTGCCGGTGGTGTGGGATCTGTTAGATTGTTCAGACTGGCTGTTGGATTCCTGCCCTTCCAGTGCATTCTCAGATAGCCAAGGGATCTGCAGGCCAGGGGGGCAGGGCTTCCCGAAGCTGTCTCCGTTCACTGTTAGGCTCAGGAGTCCCATTGTCTCAACGAGCTCTCCTGACTCTGTTGATGTGACCAAAATTATTTCCCACAAATTGTTCAATCATTTAGAAGACCATCAAGTTTAGTGCCCATCTGATTCCTGTTGACAGATGTCTGCGATATCGGCATCATAGGAATACTCGGACGCTAAGTCAGTTTAAGAACAAAAGTTGGGAGTCTGTTCCTGGGACAGTTTCTAGTAGCCCTGGTTACGCCACATCCACGTTAGAGACCCCTCGTGCTGGACAGGAGATACAGGCCGCTCTGTCGGAGACCACACTGTCCAAGGCTCTCATCAGGATGTCTGGCATGTGGTCTGTGAGCATCTTTGGGCCTATGAGTATTTTGCTGAATTCCGCTTCGTGTGACCACTTTGCACTATACTGAGCAGTAGAACAGCAGCCAAACCTTAAACAGAAAAGGAAATAACAGCTAGCAAAGCTGCACTTGAGTTTGACCTCCAACACACATTCTCTTTCGCTGGTGGTGAGTAGACCGGACCTCATCAGACCCGCAGACCCATCCGCACTCACCTCCCTGAGGTGCCTTCTTCCTCCAGGTGGATGATCCTGCCAGGGGGATACAGAGGTGGGTACTTGGGTGGAGAGTCCAGTGGGGAGTCGCTAGAGAAGCTGTAGGCCGGGGACCAGCGTGTCAGCAGACTCTGCTCCCCGAGAAGGGGCTGTGTCAGGTCTCCCTGGGCACCCCCATCCAGTTCAGTTGGAAAGTTGTCAGGGTTCCCTCCGAACAGTTCATACCAGCACCCCTGCAGCAAGATCTTGTACTAATAAGGGCGAGACCCAAGAAGGAAGAATGTTGTCACTTTGAGACACTGACTGTCATTACAGAAACCTCTTCAGGCCAGGAGCTGTGCTGGATGGCAGCCACCCTAAGGGCTCAGGGTGAACTCGCACACTCAGTCATGGGCCATGAGTGGGGGTGTCTCTTGGGCAGTGAAGCCATCACACTTGGAGCAATATTTAAAAAACAAATGCAGATTTTTGAGGAAAAATTATCCTGAATTCTTTTTTCCTTTTTTTTTTTTTTTTAGATACGGGGTCTCACTATGTTTCCTAGGCTGGACTTTTGAACTCTTAGGCTCAAGTGATCCTCCTGCCTCAGTCTCCTGAGCAGCTGGGACTATAGGCATGAGCCACTGTGCTAACCTTAATTCTTTTCACGCAATTCTGCAAATCAGTACCCTGCCCACAAAAACATTAATTTCTAAAAAATTTTGGGAGGTAATTGATAAAGAAAAAATTAACTTAAAATTTTATTTTTTTCTGATTAGGAACAAAAACACAAAGTCAAAAAAGAAAACAGGTTAAAGAAGTGAAAATCATCTCTAACCCCGTAATCCAAATAAAACCACATTGTTTTTTTTTTTCCCCCCCAAATTTTTGTCAAAATTCCTATCTATATCTCCTGCCTTGGAACATACCTCTTAAGGATCATTTTTAAGCTTCCTTAAAAAAAAAAAAACTTCAATATATCATAGATAACCTGTTTCTATTGGTAAATATAAATTTCTATTACCCCTCCCCCCACATCTGTTGGTAAGTATAAATTTCTATCACTATTTTTAATAATTGCATAATATCCACAGTATGGATATACCAGTACCTCTTAAATCTGTATTTGGCAGCCTTATTTTCTGAGCTTTGGGACAGTATCACCAAAAA